AAAAAACTGAAAATTTAGTAATGGCGCTTTTTTTTCAAAACAAAAAATGAGAAGTAAAAACGATAAGTGTCAAATTACGGAAACGAAAAAAAAAAGTAAAGGATGAGATGAAAGCAAGAAGATAAAATAATTGAAACCAGTTTGCATTAGGTACGTGCTATGAAAAGAAAATTAATTTCAAAAATTCCTATAAATTATGCATTCTTTTATGAAATATGAATTTTAAACTATCATTTTTTCCAATTTTATTGCCTTGCAATCTTTATAAAAGAGTGGCACTTATCAATAGATAAATAAAATGATTGATTATTAATGAATTATTTAAACAGAATACATATTTGTTTTCATCTATTTTTTTAATATTAAATTCCAATTCAAATTAATTCCGAAATCAATACGACAGACAATAAATAATTAAAAGGAGTGAATGCATCTTATTTTGATGCCTTATAGGCAAGTGAATAAAAGATGCCGAAGAAATTTTATGTATTTTCAAATTTTGATTTTAAATGAAAGTATCTGTAGAGAGGAACGATTTGAAATGAACAAATCATTTTTTTATCATATAAAAAAAGTACGACAGAATGCCTTTTATAATTTTCGTTAGTTTTGCTTCAGTTTTCATAGAAAGCTATCATTAAGCCAAGAAAGTTTAATTCTTATAAAAATTTAGAAATAATATGCAATACTTCTTGCATTGCTGATGACAAAAGTTACATCGATGACTGAAGGAATGAGCCTAAATTAAATAAATGATTATATTTTATAATATTATTTTTCAATCAAAATAAATAAATAATAAATAAATATGTTTAGAATTTAAAAATTACAAGGCGTAAATTTTTTAAATCTAAATTTCAAAAAAGGCTGCTAACCTACGTAATATATTCCGTTCCTCTTTAACATAACTCAATTGATCACCATGATTAACAATATCAGCAGCAGAATTTGATAATTTTCCTCGAGATGTCTTCTTTCCGGATCGTCCAGTAGTCCAGAAACGAATGTTACTAGTGGAGAAGAAGAAATGTTTCTTGGCGGTGTTAGCATGTGATTGTGGTGATAAAGCGCGACTGGAAATGAGAGTTTCCCGAGTAGATGATGTTGATGTCTTTTCCGGTTGTTGTGTGATAGCATTGTATTGAACCGTTGAATATCGACGGTTAGCCATTTTTAACGCTTAATTTTTTTTTACAATTCTTCGACAATATCGATTGTTTTCAAATCAATTGATAATGTAACAATTTCACTTCCAATTTTTTTCTCTGCGTCAGATGTTTTCATCGGTATAATACCCAATAAAACTCTGTAAAAGAAAAATGTAATGAATTCGATAATTATCAAATTTAGCGAAACGAAGAACGCAACTATTTCTTTGACAGTTAGAATAAAGAATAAAATAAATTTAAAAAAAATAAATGTGAACAAAGATCATTTTTGAAGTAACATCTCTAAAAATTGATGATCACAATGACTGGACGATGAATCATCGCACCAAATTCAATTGAATTATCTAATTAATTAATCATAATGATTGTTAATTCTATAAAGAAAAAAAAAGATGGAACACTGGAATGGTCATATCCCATTGGTCACTACTCAGAAACACAATCTGATCGGTCATTGACGTTCCTGTCTTCCTATCCTTTCGAAAGAAAATCGTTTAGTGCGTCAGTTGGCCATACACCATCAGGTGTTTTGGTCAGTAAATCTTCTTAGACCTGCTCAGAACTTCCGAGAGATATGTCCAATCCTTCCAGCTTTCTTTGCACTTCTATAATAAAAGATGAAGTACTTATAGGTTGTAATTCATCTTTGTTTAAATAAACGAAAAAAAAAAACACAAAGGAAAAAACTAATAGTAATATAGCAGAAATAAAAAAATTTAAAAGCAGAATGTTGAAAATTAATTATGTATGATTAGCGGTAGTAATGTAAATAGTATGGCACATTTCAAAAAACAAAAAAAATTTTGATTTGTTAAATTGAAATTTGAATTTTAAGCTTAAAATGTATTTACCTAAAATACACAAAAAGGGACGCAAATGAGTTGAATATGCAGAATTGTTAAAAATACATTCAAATCAATTTACAATCAAATGGAAAAATAATTTAATGCTACTGTGATAAAATGAAATGTAATTTATGGTATGTTCAGGGAGTTATAAATTCCTTTTTTTTGCCTACCTAAATTTTACTAATTGATTAGAATGAAAAAAAAGGAAAGACAATCGTGTTGAATGAATTCATCTGCGACTGAAATGATGAGGATACTAATAAATTACAACAATTACTATAATTGTTATTTGAAGTTTTTCAAAAACGTTTAAGAGTTTTTTCATGAAATCACTAAAATTATAGACTACTTATCCTTCACAATTATATTTAAAATAAAATGAAATGAAAAAAAAAATTTTCCAGCTAAAAGACACTTAATTTTTTTAACAGAAAGATCAGGAAAGAACAAAGATCAATTACAAAAGAAATGAATTAAAAAAACTTTTAATTTCTCATATGTGAGAAGTTAAAAGCTCGGTGATACATTTAACTCAGTAACCATGTCAACTGTGTGAAATATCAGTTAAAACTGAAATTGCAAAAAAGTATCCTAATTTACTGCATTGCAGCAATCAATTTCTAAATGATTGATTGGCTGATCATTTTTTTAACTTAAAAGTTTTGAAATTTGAAAAATTTCACCAATTCATCTGCTTCATTTTTTCTGAAAACGACTCCTTTTTTCTTCTTTTCACATTTTTAATACGATCTAATTGACTTATCGATTTTATAATCTTTTCATCGATACTTGATTATATGAGAGGGACGAAAAATGTTGACAACAACTTTATAAAATAATGGAAGGAATAAAAATTATCCTCACCCCGATTACCGTTCATTGAGCAATATCGCATAAATCTTTTAAATGTGTGCTAAACTCAAATGAAATTGACGAGAAAAGAGGAGAGAAAGGGAGAGAGAGAAATCGATCAAACAAAAACTTTTTGGAATTTCCCAGTGATGGCATTGATGTGTTGCTAAATATACATTCGTTTTTTTACAGTGATTTATAGTAAATTTGTCATAGAGCAGATGTGGTTAGGATAGAATGAAAGGTATGAGGGGATGGCGGGGGTGGCGGGGGTGGAAGGGAATGTGACAGGAAGAATGGAAGAGGGAGGGGGTGTGATGCACTCAATGATTTTGATGGATTTTTCTATTTTACAAGATGATGATCATTTCCCACGCCAATTCCTCAAACCGATATTTTAAAGTGCTCATTTCATTCATTTTACACAATATTTTCACTTCTTCAATGATAAATAAATTATCTGATGAGAATGACCGAAAATTTAACCTGAACAGTTTCCAGTCCGATAGGAAAACGTTTGTTTTTTACAGTTAACTAAAATTATATCTAATGTGGAAAGGAATATATGCTCAGTGAGTGGTTATGTTTGATAATTACAATGCTAAAGTGCAACAATATATTCTGTATGATTGTAATGAACAAATAGAATGCGCAAATGGTTGAAAACTGGAAATGTTGAAATTGGGAAAAAAGTTTCTTTCAAAATAATTGAGAGAAAATTGTCAATTATTGAATGGATAAATGGAAATGCTACTTCTCTTTATGATATTCTCTCTCTCTCTCTCTCCCAATCAAATCTATTATTTTCTGTTCCTTCTATTAAATTTTCAAATCATCAAATTCCTTCCTTCAATAAATAAAACAATGTTATCAATATTATGATTAACTACATGTATCATGTAGAACACTGATAAATGTAAGTGCAAAGGCATTATCGATTAGAGAGAAAAAGAAGCTAAAATTTTAATCAGAAAAGAAAGGGTCATATGTCAAGAATAAAAGCTTCAAAGAAATATAAGAAACAATGTGACATGAAAAATAGTTCCACGTAACTGAAGAAATAAAATTTTGCTTCCAAATGCTAATCAAAATATTAATTGATGAACAGGAATTATGTAAATATGAAGAACAATTTGTTTAAAAAAACTTGCTCTGAAAAAATTTTGAGGAGGAAAATACATTATTATACGACAAACAGATGTTATCATTTAGCATACAAAAAAGTTTTCATAAAGACCGGTGATAGCATGTTTTGTATACCGTAAGCTTATTCACACAGCTTACAATCACTAATTTACATACTTCGCAAATATGGAAAACAGTAATAGACGAATAAATTCACCATCTGAAGTTTTCAATTCATCAGTTCTGCTGGAATCATAAAATCACTTACTGATTACTCACAAAAGAAACTCTTTTATTTCTTCTTAACAACAGACATTTCACTCTTTCTTTTCATCATTTTTACCTAATTGTTATTATTCATAAAAGCGATCACAATAACACAAATGCGTACAATCGTTTGTTTCGAATTAAAATTTAAAAAAATTTCGAAAATTTTCACGAATTCAATATATCTAAAGATAACTGGATTAACGAGCAACTATCAGTCAGTTATAATTTTGTGCGAATGAAACATGAAGTACAGCACCGCTTACTATTTGTTAAACTGTCGCACAATTTCATTTAATTAGTAAAACGAACTGAGACGTAGTGAGAAAGAAAATTGCAACCACAAATATGGCGTATAATTATTTTGTGGCAATATGAAGAAAACCAATTCTCATTTTTTTCCATTCAAGGAAACAGAAGTGAAAAGGTTCTAACAACCGACACAATCAAGGAATTAAAGGTCGAAAGATTATTAAAATCATACAAGGACACATGACCCACTGGAAGGTTGATGGAAATGGATTACCGGTTTGTGAACTATCGGGAAAATATTTAAAATTTCGATTACATTTCGGATACTTCCAGAATTACATTCGTTATGGCTTCCTGCAGCATAAAATATTTTCAAAAATAAAATAATCTATGAAATTTTTAGAAGAATGACTTTAAGCAAATATTTTGGGGAAAAGCATGAACGAATTGTAAATTGAATAAATGGATGAGAGAGAGAGAGACAGAGAAAGAGAGAGTGTATTTAAAAGAAACATAATTAAAAAACTAACAGAGAATAATGATATTTATATAACTCTTAAAAATTAGAAAAAGATAAAATTGAGGAAAAATAGTTGGAAAAGCAAATGTAAGTGGGTGAAGAAGAGCTGGCACAATGAAGAATGTCGTACCGACTCGATCTATATCTGTGGTGATCGAAGTGCCAGCTAGCATTGTTAGCATCACATGAGAGGATATGTTTGTCAATCAATTTTTATCGCAAAGTACTTCGAACATCGAACAAAACGGATTCAACTCTTCCGGTACATCTGTGAATGTTTGCTTAAAATTGAGATGTCATATTTTGTATTGTCTACCAATTGAATTTGCTTACACATAAATAAGCATCAAGTGGAATAGTCATTAATTTGATTAGCTATTCAATTTCCAATTCTATCCAAAATTTTATTTCAATAAAAAATGTCTTTTTAAAAAAAAGAAACAAAAAAAGAATACATAGGAGATTTGTTGAACAAAAGTTTCTTATTTCAGCCAAGAAAAAAGTGAATTAGGCCGTAATGGGTTTTGATGAAGAGGTTATTCTGGTTTCATTTCACTTCATAAACTGTTGCGTAAAATTGATTTATATGTAATTTTGTGTTTAATAGAACAGTTGTAGGGATCGCAGAAACTGATGAAAGTAAACGAAGTCAATTCTTAGCACCATCTAAACTCAATTTTCATTTAAAAATATTTTTATGAGCGACGGGAAGTTTTAAATGAAAAGAGTGCCAGCGAATGAAATTTAATGCATAATACGTCAGTGAAAACTTCTATAATTCTTTTAAAATGACTTCAGCCATATATCATACAAAAGTTCATAATTTGATAATTTGAAAAATTAAACCGCTAAATCTATCAAATTTAAGGGGCACTGCTGGAGCGATAAATAGCCATAAGAAGCCATGAAGAAGCAACAGCCAATAGAATTTGAATTTTATATTTGCCAATTTAATGACAAATAAATAAATTCTTAGATTTAACTTCTTGAAATTCATAGCTTCTCACTGTTCAATTTTTTAGTTAACAAAATGGAAGAAACCTTTTTAATTTCCCAAAACTGTCCTCGAGATAGTGATAATGAAGATTGCAGAAGAGAAATATTACACAATGCAAATCATTGGTAACTTCTTTGATGATAATTGATATCTATTTCTTATATATGGACAATAGTATGATTATAGGTTAATGAATCGGTGTATATGTATGCAAAAAGTGGTTGAGATAATAAATTAGAAAAAAAATCGTAGTTCAAAAAGTGAAAAATATTAAAAATTGCGGATATAAAATTGACTGGGAACAGAATGGTTACCATAGATTTAAAATGCTAAAGAAAGGATTCAAAGCAGGAAATTCTAAATTTCATTTTAATCTACTATTATATTTTAAAAAATTGAATTTCGATCAAAGCAATGCTGTCATGGAGAAATAGAATTCACAAATCTCATAAATTTGAAAAAGATTCAAACAAACATGAGCAGAGTTTAATCGCATTTTATATGATTTAAATTTGTAGTAGAAGTGGACTGTAGTAATCAAACAACAACTTCCTATTGATAAATCGGGAGCAATAGATTTTTAGTTCAAGTGGAATGTATTCATTTGTTATTGAATCAAATGGTGCATTACTGCAAATAGATTATCCTGAGACCCAAATATCAGGAAAGCTAACAAATTGTGGATTTGTCTTTCCGGATAACCGATCTTTGTAGGGAGACGTTTAAAAGTAGATTAGCTGCACGATAATAGCATATTTAAAATAGTAGCCAGCCAGAACCGTTCAGTCTTTCAGTGTAATGTGGAAGTGTAGAAGTCAACTATGTTTGAATATTACCAAAAAAGAGAGTCCAGGATGAAAAAAGACAAATTTTTGACGTTCAAATTAGTTAAAAAAAGCTAAAGCAAACGAAACTTCTGTTGTGAATGAATACAATTTGAAGAGTCGAAATATAAATTGAAATTTCCATTAAAATGTGCAAAAATGCGCCATTGCAAATAAAACGTACACTTTGAATGAAATTTCATCGTTAAATCAACCATCGATTAAATCACCGAAAGAAAATGGTTTTTCTTGCTATCTTTTCGTTTTATTCAATTCTGCCTCATTAACTTTCTCCTTTCAATTCATTTGAAACATTTTAAATCAGAATTTTGAAATGAATTTGAAAACATTTTTGCAATAAAATGCTATTGCCATCTTAAAGGAATACTTAAATTCCGGTCTATCAATAAGAAAAATGATTGAATTAAAGCAGAAAAGGGAACTTGTTCAACAATATTTTTTTGAAGAAAAAAAAACATGGGTTTTTACCACACTTCTTCAAAGAATATTACAAGCCGGCATTCAGTAAAAACTCAAAGATCATTGAGAGCAAAATAAAAATTCGTACAGCTGTGATTTAAACTATGATGAAAAAATTTTTACTGAGGTAGAATAGAAAAGTTGGAAAATTTTAACTTATAGTTTGAAATTGAAATATAATGACATATGGATATATGATGGCCAATAAAATTATGCCTTAAGTCTTCCTTTGCATTGAGATCAATCTAAGTGCGTAAATGAGAAGTTTTAAATAGCTGTCAACATCAATAATTGAAATGTATTTGGTGAATTCATAAAAGGATGACAGTTTTTGGCTTGCTGCTCAAAGCTTTTCGTCAATAAAAATAGCAACATGTTTTATAAGATTTAAAAATAGGACATCATTGAATAAATTTTCGGAATGTGGGATTTGCTCACTTACAAAGATCGCAACAGTACAAATAAATCGTTTAATCACTGAAACTCATAAAATCTATTAATTTTGAAGTATCTACAGTAGATCAGAAAATCGAAAATGATTAAAACTGGAATAAATTATGAAGTGGTAAGGCAATTGTTTCTCTCGAAAATCAACAGCAATACTAATTGTAACAAAAGTCGCTAAAAAAATTATTTTTGCAATAAAATGTTTTGCAATGAAATATTCGCGGAAGTAAAAAAAATTAAACAATAAATCTTAGAATAAAAAAAAAAAGGAAATCAACAATATTAAAAGCGATAATATCACGCAGTGTCAATCTATGACATTCGTGTGAGAATTACTGATACGTAAGTGAATAATTCTTGTGCAACAATAAACATATATACGTGTGTGTTGTTGATGCGTAATCTATTCAAAACTGTTTGATAAAAGCACCGCAATTCATTTATATGATGACGCTATACTTTCCCATTATAATTCTTTCACAACTGTTACATAACATTTCATTGCTTATTGCATGCAACGGAAATGCGATGAACATCGAGAGTGGGGTGTTGAGACGAGCGGGTTGTACTGGCGATTAGAGTGGTAGTTTTCTCGAGATGAACGGTTTTTGAGTATGTATTGTAGTTGAACTTTATACGACAATTATGAAATTGTCTGCTTTCTTCATTTGTGGAAGCATATTACATGACTTGTGGGGTAGAAAAATTCTTAAAGACTGAGATTGATTTATTGCGAAGAGTTTAATTTTAGATAGAGAAGTAATTGGCAGATCAAACTGTAACATTTTACGGCGAGTTTTTTTTCATAATGTTTGCATATTTCTTTATGGTATTTTTCTGTTTTTTAAATACGCATCCAAATCTTATGGAGTTTTAGGAAAAATTAGAAGTTTGATTAGGGAAAAGTGATTAGTCGACATTAAAATTATGAGGAAGCTTTTATCATCGTTGACAGGCAGTTTTTTCCTTGTACGCTTTCTTGTTCAATGTCTAAGACAAATTTATCTCTTAATTTTGAATTTTTGAATTTTCCACGGATTTGTGAATTTTTCACAAATTTACTTGATTTTTATCATTATTTCTGTAGAGTCTATTTGGATGTTACAGATTTTGAAATAAAATATGGAAGAAGCAACCAGTTCAGTCAGGCCAAGCCAGCCCTCTATTAGGAAGATGAGCAAAGCAGCGTGGAATAGGAAAATTTCTAAAATTGATAAGTTGGTTAAGCTATATAAGGTATGTTGCTATATCACGTGTGACATCATCTTTATTATTTCTAAAAACTATGAAATATGGGAATAGTGCTCATTATCTTAGTCGTTTAGTTGTTTTTGGAAATATATATGTTCTTCAGTGACCGACTTCCAAAATTAATAAGCTGATTAAACTGTATAAGGTATAAGGTATGTTACTGGATCACAGAGAGGACAGGTTTCTGGAACTTTCAAGTGATTAAGGAGATAGTAATTTATGTTAATCTTTTAAGGCCAAAATGATATAATCAATAAATAATTTAAATACAATGACTTGTTGACAGGTATTTCTTTGGGATGCCCCTGTACTTTTTTTTGTGTAATATCTAGTATAAATTTATCTCTTAGTTTTTTATACATAGTGATTGTTTTCTATTTGGTTTATTATATCTTGAGGTGAAAATGATATCTTGTAGCAATTGAGAGAAGCAATAACAAAATTGGAGAAGCGAGAAGTATCTTTTGGTGAAGATTACGATGAACAATTTGAAGAGACTTGTAACAGACGGCTGGTAAAACTTATACAGAGGCGCTTGCAAATACATAACTATTTGGTTCGAAAAGGGATTTTTGTTAGTGATACGGGCGAAGCCATGTAAGTCTTATTTTGCTTGTTATTTTTTTGCAAAAATTGACAGCAATCTTATTGAAATTACTACAGTTTTTCTAATATGTCAGATGTAGATAGCATCAAACTTCAATTTATTCCTTGTATGACATGGAGCAGTTGCTATTTCTAATTTTTTGTAAACTTTTATGGATTTTCTGTTTGTACAGCATAACATTTATGCTGTTTTGAAAAAAATTTTTATAGTCTTCCGGATATGAAACCAAAGTTGATAATAACTTCGACGGGTGTTGAAGACTTAAACACGCTTTTGACTGAATATGTTAACCAAGAAACTGACGCTGAAGTTTTGGGGTGTAACATACGAGTACCTTACAGGTGAGTTGATATTAAATCATTTGTTTGAAATAGTTATTTTTTAGAGGTAATTTGCTTCGTTTAATTCATTTTAAATTCTAAGGCATGTTACTGTAAACGATGTGAAGATGCTGGTAGAGAAATTAAAGGAAACGAATAATACTCAGCTTTTTCGAGATGATCCTTTGGAATTTGGTGAGTATTTGAAATTATCATAGTTGAAAGCAATCATGAGTTTGTTAGCATGTAATTTTGGAATTATGATTTATTGTTTGCAGTCATCAGTTTTCAGATCAACTGATTCAAAATATTACATGCGAAGTAAATAAATTGGTGAAGCGATTCATTGAAGATAATCACCGAATGGGTCTCGATGACTGGACTCTTTCAGGTATAATCAGTATTTTAATTTAGCTTCAGCTTCAGCTTTACAAATTGTTTTTATTATTTTATCTCAACACATCAGTTCACCTTCACTGCGCAGCATTTTAACTGTATTAAGATTTTATTCGATTAGTTCTGTATCCATATCCTGTTTATTCTTTGTTGGATTTTACCGCTGCCATCTTTTTCAGATCAAACAAGTGAAAGCGGAAATTTCTCATCTACATCAGCTGATATAGGTGCTACGGAAGGTGGAGACAGTTCGTTGAGTGTACCAACCTGGGATATTGCTAATATGGTAATCCTTTGAAAAGAAGTTACCAAATAAGGTGGAAAAGTTGGCGGTCAATATGTGTGTTGTCTGTATGATATGAAAAATATTTATGATTAAAATGATTGCGTCCACCTTTTCAATCATTAAGTTAAAATGCTAATCCTCATATCACATTTCGTTTCGTTATAATTAGAAATTCTTTCTTATCCGTAGTGATGGATATTCTATGAGGTAGTTACAACTTAGAAATGAAGCAGGTATAAGCCGAGGAGAGCAGTAATCTGTGAAGATTGTTGTGCAAATGATTCTATTTATTGCGTGGAAAGTGTTCATAATGAAATTTATGCTTTATAGGAATTGCACGAGGCTTGTGGTCGGGGTGAATTGGACTGTCCGGAACCAGAAAACAGTGGTGATATTGATGATACCGAAATGTCACCTAGTGCTGATGAGGAAGAAGATGGAGAGGAATGCGAGAGTGATACTCAGTACACTGTATTACTTTACTTACAGAAAATTGATAAATTAAATCCAGAAAATTTTGGTGTTTGTATATAGTTTAAATGCGATTTATTGCCAGCCTTATCTCCACCTTTATTGCTATCTTAGGCAAAGCTGCTAGGTTTTAAAGCTTGATTATTACACAGCGATTCAAGCATTTATGGCCTGATCCAGATGAAACATTGCAGTGTCTTGTTTTTGTAACTTTATTGGTAAAAAACGATAATGATTCTCATGAAATATAAAATCTTAAGTAAAATCATTGCTGCCATTGAATCGGCGACAGGAATATTCTTTATAATTCAAGTTATAGTTTTTGAAACCACATTCAATTTTTTTTTAAATTCCTAATATTTTTTCTGCTGTCAATCCTCGTTTTTCTCAGGCTAATGAAGATATGGAGAGTAAAAACAACGAATCTGATGATAGCTGTTGTATTGTCGAGGAACGGGTACATGAACAGTGCGAGAGAAGCGACGACAGTGATTGTTACATAATCGAAGATGACGAAAAATCGAGCTCAGAAGGAATTATTGACGAAGATATCGAAAACATAGAAGCGCAATCAGCAAATGATATAGAAAACTCCTCAGGAAGTGGAAAAAAGGGTGTGGGATTGGGTGAAAAAATAATTGATGATGATGACGATTGTTGTATTATCGAGGACTGACAGATTCAAACTTTAGCACCTGTTTCATTATCTGATGTCATGTTATTAAAGCAGTATTAAGTTCTTAAACGTTTTGCAGATATGCTAATTTGCTTTTCAGCAAAGCCTATAATGATCGAGTATTCTGCCTAGTACAGTTCCAAACTGTCGAATTACCAACATTCAGTTTTTACGAAATTTTTCATCAGTATTGTAATTTTTTTTGATTTATTGCAGCCTCCTAAATTTTTCTGAAATGGGCAGTTTGTCCAGATTGGTGCACTGTCAGGCAGTTTTATTTCATATCATTGTCAAACAATTTTATTTCATATCATTGCCAAGCAGTTTTATTTCAATACAACAGGAAAAAAAAATTCCATCAATTTCTGTTAAATTTAAACAGATCAGTCATATATGTGTTAATTATTTTATTGTTTATTCTCTTTACATTAAAATTTGAAAAGCAATATCTCAAATCGTTTCATCATTCTGTGACATTCATTTGAAAATATCCTGCCGGCCGGAATTTTTCACTGTTTATCAATAGCACTTAAACAAAAAATATTTTTCCAGCTTTACCACATGTGTACAATACATTACACTTTGCAACGAAAATTTCTAGTTAGACCATCGATTGTTGAAAAAATTGATAATTTACATTTCTCTTTTAGAATCGTGTTTCTGTGAAATTTCATTGAATGATTTTTTATTACTTAAGGACTTATGTAAAAGTTGACTTGAAATTTTTTAGATCGTAAGTGTCAACAAAAAACAAAACGAATATTTCGGGTATCGTTTGCGAATTCATCAAACAAATTGTTGTTAAAGAAAAGCGATCCTCTTTTTTTAATAAACAATTTTTTGTTTTTTTATTGAACGAATAAACACTGACATATCAATGATTAAAATACAATTGAACGGAGGAAATGGTAAAGAGAGGATGACGATGGATGGTACAATGTGAAGGGAAGAAAACGATGATTGTTCAGCCATCCATTCATTACTTTTCTCTAACTCCTTATAGCATTTTTTTTTTCTTGTAAGGGAGTGAAATGCTCCAAATCTATCTATTTCTGAAGTTAGAAATGTTTTGATCAATTCCTATCTTCAATTTTGTTCCATTAGATACTTAAGGAATATGTATAAATATTTATGAAGGTTTCATTCTTCTTCTTTGTCTCATAGATCAATTGAATTTCTGCAAGGGAGCATTGTATGAAAGTAGAATAATTAAATTGAAAGCGAAAAAAATCAATAAAAAGGAGATGGATAACATAAAAATGGAATTTGAAGTAGTTCATGGTTAAGAAATTCATCAATTTGCGTTCATAAAACTTATCAATTAATTTGAAATTCAAAATTTCATCATAATTTTATTTTGAAAAATTAAATTTTTTGCAAAAATGGAAACAACTAAAATAGTGCCGGAAAATGATGAATTATTTATCTCCAAAATATTTTACATAATGAATTAGTCTTAGAAAAAGTGTTTAATTTTAATAAGGAATAAACTATAAAAATCCGGTAGTTTTTTTCGTCTCCTTTACTATTTCCAGTGCCATCATCCCATTTCAATACTTTCAAAATCAAATCGCAAATATCAACTTTAACTAATTAGTATAATTGAATTTCAATTAGTTTAGCATCTGCTTCGAACAACAAGTTAATTTCGCCATTGCTTAATTTTGTTTAAACTTGGAAGGAATTTTTTCATCTCATTTTTTTGAAGGAATTTTAGCCGATATAAAGAGTTTAGCGTTGCATATGCCGTAAATAGTGTGATATTTCGAATATCAAATGCTCCGATTTTATATTTTGAAAGTATCATTAACGATCTTGAATCCCTTAATGAGCAATTTCTCCTCCATATGTTTCGAAAAAGCACCAATGTATTTTTTTGCCATTCATTTCTCAAATGAATAATATACATTTAGAAGAAAAAAAATGAAATTCTCACAAGCTGAGAAGAATTATTAGCTGAAATGAAGTGGAAATTTTATAAAACACAAATAGAATGCTTAGAAATTTCGAATAATTTTTGATGACATTAAATTTAAATTTAAATTAGTCTTTAGTAATTGTTAAGGAAAAGCTTTATATGACAAATTAACATTATTTGGATAAATTTCATTTAAGTTTCAGCTTTTTTAAGCTTGAAGTGCTACAGATTGCAGATGTTAGAGGATTGCGAAGCTATAATGTACATTAATTACCAAATGAGGAGACATAAGGTAGAGCAGCTGTTTCCTGTAATCTATTGCAGATGCAAGGTTTAGTTGCTCTCTCTCTCTTTCCCTCTTCCTGTCCCATTTCATGGGGTCACTTCACTTCTATTTTATCAAACTATTAATCCAAATTAAATTGATTTATCAAAAAAGACTTCATTTCAATCTTGTTTTTTTTTCGTATATTTTTATAAAAATATTCATCACTTATTGAATTGTTTTAATTTTTTTAATTCAAATATCAGATGATATTTAATCAATTTGTGATTATTTCAATTTATGTTTTTAGTAGTTTTTTTCCGACAAATATATATTGCATAATCAGGCAACGATCTGAAATCCTCCCAAATATTTTTCGGAATAATTATTTTTAAATTATAGATTTGCCGCTTCTAAGGATTTTAATTTAAAAATCAAAGAACTGATGAAGTATTGATGAAAGAAAATACATTTAATAGATTGAAGAAGGACATTTTTTTCATTTAATTATAAAACAAGGGAGATTGATGAATAGTGGAAATGAATGCACGTTATCGTATTTAATCTCGACTATTTCATTCATTTCGCCAATAATATCAGAAGCTATCTGCCAGTATTCAAATAAATTCAACTTATTACTTTACAATGCTTTCTTAACTTATTCATATCTTTATCATATCTCTCTCATTCTATTTAAATTATATAGATGGAAGCGATCGAAACGAAGAAGAGAATCTCATTTATAAATTTAAACTTGCATATTTCGAATTTCAAAATTTCAAGAGAATTTTGTAATAATCGGTTCTTGCATGATTTCACGATCTTCAACGATCCAGAAATTATCATTTTTGTTGGTATAAGAGATCATTAAAATAAACTATTGCATGAAATTTATTCATTCAAATTCCCTTTTGTTTTTTGGACGTTTTATCTAATTAAAACATATTTAAACATCATTGACACTAGACGGCATGATCAAAGGGAAAATTGTTGAAGATGAAACGAATGGTTAGGGTTAGGAGGATGTAAGGAGTAAATCTCCCATTGATATTATGTGAAAGTGTTGTTGGATGACAAAAGATCTAGAAAAATAGTATAACTTTTAGAGAACTTGTGGACAAAAAAAAATGATAAGGAATTGTTGAGTTTTCTTGTATGATTGCACCGCTTGAAAAATTCTCCCATGATGAGGAAGCGTTTGAGTTTGAGTCGGCACCTGCCTGATATATATATATTTGCCTCGTAGTAGTAGCAGTAATGTAGGAGGGGTGATAGACAAGGCAAGATCCAATATAAAGAGACGATAATTAATCATTAGGATGGGAAATTGAATCCCTCTTTAACCTCTATGAATCCTTGAAAAATGCTATCTCAATTGGATCAGTTTAATTAACTTTCACCAAATGAAGCTAGCAATATGTTCACGATGGAAAATATCAGCGTACATTATTGTGGTAGTTTGATTTTTTAATTAAATTCAAAAAAAGAAAAAGAAAAAAAGATCTTAATATATTTTATATGAATTTTGCATATGATCAGAGTTTCACATCATGACCTTTCTAAACCTTTCTAGCATATTCCTTACATGCTGGTACTTATTGAATTTATAGTTTGTTATCAAAATGAAATTTAAGTAAATCAAAGGATGCGAAATGTTTATTTGTAAAGATTAAATTAACAAACTACTGTGTGTAACAGGGAAGAAGCAAAACAACTTAACGCTAATAAAACGAATTTCATTAAAGTAAGCGCTGTGCGGTAATTTCTATATGGTTGATGTCGCTCATTTACCATTAAGAATATTTGAATTCAATTTGTTAGACATCTATTGATCTTTTCTATTGACCTGCAAATTTATATTATATACTTATTTTTCATGCAGTTCTTTTCCTTGTTCTATTAGGATTATTAATTAGTGCTTTCATTAATCATCGTTATCACTCATCCATTTCACTTAATTTTGCTTTTGTCAAAATTCTGACTGTAATTCTGCAAAAAAAAATTCTGATTATGTGGAATGACAAATAAATTGAATAATAAAAAAGTTAAATATCTTTTCGTTATGAAAATAATTGAAGAAATAATAAAATTGTTTATAATTTATGAATATGTCAATTTGATGACCTAATTTTGATTGCAATATTAGAATGATTATAGTGTGAAGGTTAAATGAAAAATTAGAAAATAATATTGGCGGAAAAGATGGAAAATTTTATTTGATATCGGATGAAAGAACAAAATCCTCATTCATACTGTTACGGCAATCAGTTGCAAAAATTTTCTCCTTATATTTTAGAAATCTAAAATGTTTGACACAAATAATTTAATCTTGAGAAAAAAAGACTAATTTCTCTTTTTCAACTCGATTATCTCTAAATGTATTTGTTATCATATAGATGATAATAACTTTTTAGTTTTATTCAGAAAAAGAATTGAAGATTTTCAAGTTGATAAACTAAATTTAAAAAAGTTAATTAGAAATTTTTTTTTCGGGAAAGCTTTGCCCATTCCCATTTTATTCGACAACATTTTCCTTCAAGACAACTTTGTAGAATGTTTTGAAGTATGAAAAAAATGCCTTAATTACAATATGTGTCGATTTTCAGCGCTTCAACATTTTCCTTATTTTTGAAAAGATTGAAATTTTATTTCAGCTTTAGCAATTGATAAAGTTTTTTAGAAATTCAAAATTCTACAAACAAATTTGTCAGACGATAGAGATAAGAAATCCCGCAGTTGAGAATATTTGTAGATAAAGGATATCTTATCAGTAATCAAAGTGATCAAGAAACTTTTTCACTTAAAAGATTTATCACACACTTAATTGCTTAGTTTTTATGGTTTGAATGATATTTTAGAAAATAAATAAAGTATATGTATACATAAAGCTGATGATGAATGAGAAGATTTTAGAGATTTGATCAGAAAAGATCAGATGGTTGTTGTACGATGAAAAGGGTATTGGATAGTTTGGAGAAGCAGCGGATAGGAATGGTTGGTTGGTTTTCCGCGATCGGAAATTATAATTTATAGGAGCTAAAGTCGTGGGTAGCAAAGAAGATTTATGTCGTTTAATGTTCCTTAGCTAAGCATAATTATCCGGAATGGAAGTGCCGTTAAACGAACACAACAATTTTCCTTCAATTTTTTTTTTTTTTTTTTGAATTTGATCACATTGCCAGCAAACGTATTTCATTTAATTTTCCTATCTTGGCTGAGCTGATCTTATCCGACAGCAAGATCACTGATTTAACCAAATATATGTCCATTTTTGCAAAAAAAAAAAAAATTCCAAAATTTTGCGTAGCATGGAAAAATTAATGGTACTTTGAATTCAACGAATTTTTACTGAAAATCAAATCGATGAAATGCTCAAAAATATCCGATAAAATAAATTAGTTTATCGTTTTTTTTTTTTTGAAAGATAGTGAACAAACAGAGTGTGAAATCTTAGTGTATTAGAAATGATAAAGTTTAAGGAAAATTTTTGGAGAAAGGAAATCCTTTCTTCATCAAACGATGAATTTCATAAATATAAGATATGAGAGATACAACAGCTTTTTATATATAAAATAATAGAGTTTTTCATTTTTGTATGATGAAATGAATCCATAAGTATCTTCTGACGTCATATCTGAGTTCAAGTTGTAAATAAGCGATCTTTTTCACTCCCATAAATTGGACCGTAAGAATATGCAATTCAATTTTCAATATTGGCTTATTGATAACATTACAGAATTGTAATTTTCATTAATTTAATGACAAATTTTTCAATTCAGTTTAAGCTGAATATGGTCGCTAATAATTTCTTGATAAAAAAAGTTTAGAAAAATATTCAATATTATTCTAAATTTTAACTATCATTATAACATTATATCACTTCTATGATTCACTAAACGATGATACATTTTGTATTATTTCATCTTTTTTTCCAATACCTTCATTATCAAGTTTTGTACCGAATGTATTCAATCCGGTCATGTATTCAAGCGAAGATAGTAATCGAACATGAATGAATTGTAATAGCTAATATTACTGTATCTGTTTACAGTAATTCGGAAAATGTTCTTTTTCTTTTGCGTAAGGAAATTGAAGTATGGTAGAAAGTCAAGGAGTAGTAATTTTATTTCAAGAAGCCGAATAATTAATAGCACAAAATTGATTGATCCGAGAAGTATCATTTATAATTCCTCTATCTTCTTTTTCTTCTTCTTTAGTTAAATTCGAAAGAAAAAAAATCTTTTCCCTTATTTTTTTCAATATTTTCAAAAAAAAACGCTGATCGCTTTCTTTCATGTATTTGATATTTTAAAATAACATACAACCAACAACACATCAATAGTTAGTTATATTTCAGATAATTCTCCAAAATGAGGCAATGTAACATTACCGCACTTCCACATTCTTTATTTATACAAAATTTTACAATATTTATCGATGTAAATTAATTATTGAAAAGGTAACACATTTTTTTATTTATTTCATTTCATCGTAAATTTAAAAATTGTGAATGAAAATATGAATAGAAAGTGAAAATTTTTGAGGATGAAAAAAATCTCAAATAGCTGAATCATGAAGTCATAATGATTGAAAATGAATTCTCAGATAAAAATTCGCCTTTCTTTAAAAAATTAGCGCTTTTTAAGAGTGATGATGAAAGTGGAAATGAAACATTTTTTTTTTGTAATTAAATCGATTTCGTACCATTTCATCCCTTTGCATTATTCCTTTCATTTCAACAAAGGAAATTTTTTTTTTTGTTATTAAATAATTGCATGAAAGAAACGTAGAAAAGAAAAGCTACGAAGACAGGAAAACAAGATATTGGAAAGAATTGATAAATGTCATCACATTTAACTTTGCTGATTGACTGAACTCAATTAGAATGTATTGATTTATTTTCAACAATTCAAATCGTTTTCCCTCGGTTTTTCCCATTTATTTTTCATCATTTAGAATAGAATAGATGAAAATGAAATGAAATGAAATTTATTCATAAATTAAAATGAAGCTTTGTGAGTGAAAAATACATACATATATATGAAAGATGAGCAATAAAAACGAGATTATTTATTTGCTTTTCTTTTACGCTCGCATCATTTAAAGACGTATTGCTGAAAAAATACTTCTTTAGCATGTTATGATTTAGAAAATAATCATTATTATTATCACCATCATTATCATTATCATCATTTCCTATCTTAAGAATCTTTTAGGATGTCTTTTGTTTCCTTTCCTTTAAATGGAAATTGTAAGAATCTAATAAAAAGAAGAAATTGAATGGAATTTTATAATAATATATCATATCAGATATTCTCGTCCCATATTTAGTGAGACTGAATTCTTTTTACAATCATACTGAAATGGACAAGAGAAAGGCTCAAGCTACGAAAAAAGAGAAATAAATAAATAAATAAATAAAATAGAAAGGAAGGGATGCGATAAAACTGTTAGCGAAAAGGATTGCCGCCTCTTCGTCCCTCTCTTTTCAACTGATAATTTTATACAGCAACAGAGCATCATTATCAAAGTGAAAAGGACGAGAGAGGGAATGAATGAATGCTGAAGGAAAGGCAATTTGCAAAATAAATTTCCACTAAATTTGTAGCAAAATTCTTATGCTAATTTCTTATATTCTATTTCCATTACGTGTAATTTTTTACGTAATTATGACGGAATTTTTTGATCATTATTTTTTTCTAATTTTTGTTATTACACAACCATGAGATATGATGTTTTTCGAATTCTTTAATAATATTTTATGAATGTTTTCAATTTTTTCAATCCATGAGAATTGATGAGGTTTTAACTTTTCAATTATCCATACTGTTTGAAAGACATAATGATGTATTGTCATTATCAGATCTCTTAATTAATGAAAAAAAAAACAGTTTTCTCAGCTAGTAAAGGTTTCTTTTTCTATGACGATCATATCAACGACGTAAAAAGTGTAATTGCTAAGAATCGTACATATGAATTTGTATTTCTCGATCGGAATTGTAATTAATTGTAATTGCGCGATAATCAATTCCTTTACGATAATATTTAACAACAACAATTATTATGTTCCATAAAACAATTCATAAGAATTCTGAATAGCAAACAGATTTCTGATGTTTATCATTTTGTCTTTACAAATTGGATAAGTAACTAATTATCAGTGACAACCATTTTCAACATTAACGAATGGTTATGAATTCTTATCAAAGATGCGATTCATTCTCGATAATTTCTTTATTCCATCTAAAGATAATCTCGGTAACATACTGATAGCATATCAGAATGAATAATTGAGGGAAAAGGAATGAGAGAAGAGAGAGAGAGAGAGAGAGAGAGAGAGAGAACAATTCAAGAAGTTAAATTGATAATAAACGGTGTATACTGTGTGCTGCTCAGTATGGGTAATAAATTTTGCTTTTGGATATAAAATATTGGCCATATAAGAGGGAATATTTGCACACACATACACACACATACACACACATACACGCACAGACAAGCGGAAGGTTTTAGGGGCGGAGTGGAGGGGTTGCTTACGCTGGCGGTGGTGATGTGATGGCGATGATTGGGAACTGAGCGTTGAGGAGCACTGTCGCAACGTTTCTGCGAGGTTTAGCGGCTTCTTTTACTCGCTCGCTTCAGTTCATAATCCTTTAGCTTAAGTGACTTAGTTCCCAGGTTAGTTCATTATACCATTAATTCATAACTTCCTCTTTATACACTGATCTATTTATCTAATTATTTTACCTGTTTAATTCATTTATTTCTACTTTGTCAATTACCATTTTAATTACAATCTATTTATTTAATCATAGTTTTGTAATCCTTCTCAAAAAAACATATTATTTGATTTAGCGAAATGATAATTGACTAAAACCATTCAATATGATCAGTTTAAGCGAAATGATATGGAGAGATGATGGTGATATTCCTGTAAATATTCTTTTTTATCCTAAATTGGACTTAAATATAAATTCTACAATTGGTTTCAAATATTTAAATATTTAATCTAATTAAGGTAATATTTATAAAGGTTTCGAGAATTACAGGAGTATTGGAATTGATTTAAATTAATTAATTTTCTCTCACTTCTCAATGCTTTCTTATATCGTTTGCATATAGTAACTTTCCATTCTCCATGTCGCGTCTTCATAGTATGTTCATCTTTTCATCAAAATTATACGAATTTCTCGATTTTTTTTTGAGGAAAGTTTAGGAATGTTAATTGCTCTCTCCCTTTCTCCTACCTTTCTTCTCCTTTCTCTTTCCTTCTCTCTCCCTCTCTCTCTTTGCAGTGATACATTCGTTATTTCCATTCACATAAATAAAGTAATCAACTATAAATTAAATTAATACAGTCTAATTGAATTCACTTCTAAAGGATCTCCCTGATTAATTCAAACAGTATTATTACTTATCATAAATTGAAAATATGCTAAATTGGTTGCTGAAATTGTTAGTTAATTTTAATTTACATATTTGATGATTATTTTGTTGAGAAAGAATAACTGAAAGAATTTTTTTCTCTCGCAAGAAGAAATTCCCGTAAATTTCCTCACACTTCACTGAATATCTGTGTCTGTTATCACGATGAAATTCAAAATAATTCCCATATTTGAAGTACACTTTTCTTTTCCAGATTTTAAATTGCTATAATTCGAATTCATAAGGTTATTTCGATATTTATCCGGTGAAGAAGCGCCTAATTAAACGGCCAGTCGATGTTTCTACGGAATACATCAGACCAATTTTCCTTTCCTTGTTATTTCATATTTCCCTTATTATTATTATTATTACTTTCATTATGCATCAAACAAGTTACAGCGTCAATTTTTGAGCAGGTTTTTTTTGAAATTTAACAAATTTATATCAGTTTATGACAACAAATAGATGGAAAAATTATTTATTTTCATTTCAATCCTTTTTTAATTTCAAGAAAGTACTATAGAGAAGTTTTTAATCAAAATTCAAACGGCACTTGTTAAAGCAATTGTTTAATTAATCTTCAATTTTACGATTGCTTTTAAATTTTAGGCTAGTCGAAGCCGTTGTGAGCCTATCGAAATTCCATTATGTAAAGATATCCCATACAAATATACGTATTTCCCAAACTCGCTGCTACAGCCTGATCAACAAAGTGTTAGTTTTTCCGAAAGAAAATGCTATTAAAAATTTCGTAATTTTTTTTGTAAATTTAATTGTTATTAAAAATACAAGAAAATTAACACTTTTTAAATTTATGTTTCAAATGTTTAAATTTCCTTCGTAATTTTATTTTACTTAACAAATGCTAACAAAAAAGGTGGTCACAAAAAAGCTTTAATAATTCAACCAAACTTATTTTGTCTAAATCACTCTTGAGTATTTTCGAATTTTCCACGAGTGTTATAATGATCTTCGAAAAAAAACTAATGTAATCATGAAGCATTTACGGCTATTTTTTTTTAACATTTTAGCTACAAACCCAAACGGAGCACTTCAAACCGTTGATCAAAACGAATTGCAATCCGCACATTAAATTTTTTATATGCAGCGTATTTGCGCCAATGTGTCCGGAACATATGCCGCAAGCGGTCACCAGCTGCCGATCCGTTTGTGAAGAGGTACGAATTAGACAGTTTTCATAAATAAAGTTATTAATAATTTGAATCCAATGGTTAATTATAATGTATATCATTACTTTGCAACTTTAATTTTATTTTTTAAAAGTAAATTTAAATTGAATACTAACAGTCTTAACCTTCATAATATCATCATTTCTAGTCTCTTCAAATTGTTGCTGCATCAAATTGATTTGTCGTACTATCATAAGAAATTGAAATCTACTTAATTACTAACTATGCCAGTATTTTCTGTTAAAGAAATCTCAGGGCAAAAATTATCAACATTTCTCAAGAATATCTAAGATATTTTGAGGAATTTTTTTTTTTAATATTTTCGTTCTTTTCTCTTACCTCTCTCTCCTCTTTAATTTTTTATTAAATTTTTTCAAGTCATGCCTAGATGAAATAATGTTCAGGAAATGTGTCCCATTAATATTGCTTTGTACCATTTGTCACCATGGCATTAAACATTAAATACATTCTTTTTTTGTTTAATATAAAATTAAAAACGGAAAATTGTTTGGTTCAAAAACTTTTTAACATAACCAACATATTATGCAAAAAAAGTGCTTCTCCAACACTTCCACTAATTGGACATATATTTTAATGATTAGTGATATTTGTGGAAATTATATTTGCTTAACTGCAATGTAATATCTGTTTTTTTTTATTGTTTACTTGTACATGCCTAATGAATGATTGAATTTCTTGTCAATTATAAACTGATTGTTATACGGAAGTGATTAAAGTTAAATTTATCACACTTTTGAAACATTCACTCAAATCATTTTTGAAATACTTAAAATGATCTCAAAAAAAGCAATGAAAATAATCTGTGCTATTTTGGCATATTTAATATTCTCTCAATTCTCTTTTTTGTCCCATTTTTGTCATTTTTAGTTTCGTTTCAAATTGCACTTTTGCAGTTTGATATAGCCTTTCTTCGCTAATAAATTTTGAGTTAATGGCATTGGAAGTAGCAGCACATCGTATCTTTCTTTTTTTTTCTTTCCTTGTCATCGGATCACATCAAAGTGCCTCAAATATTTTATTTATTTCACCCAACTTCTCCCCTTTGGTCTTTTCTTCCTTTTCTTATGATAAAATGTTTTTTTTTCGAATCCCAGAAAAATAAATCAATGTTCGATCTTTTGTTGTAGGAAAAGACAGTAAGAAGTTTTAAATATTTATGAATAAATTTAAAGTTAATAATTTTTTAAACAGTATATATTAATAGGAATAAAATGTAATGGATTAAATATAACAACATACAAAATAAATTTTTATTTATTTAAATAGAATTTATTGTTAGAATTAATTATTGCTTTATAACTGAAATAAATAGAATGTATTATAATTCCTTTTACCTACAAGTAATCGAACAAGTTTGCTCCTAATTTTTATTAGTAAGAAAAAAAAAACAGTCCAACAATAATGTAAAACGATGCATATTAGCCTTAATTTTTCATTATTAATTCAATTAGGCCATTTATGGTAATTAATTCTTTCCTCCCAATTTTCAAATCTTTGATTTTAAAAATTGTAAACTTAAAAAAAAGATATAATTACACTCTTAGACGTATAGTTCAAATTTATGATAAAATTTGAAATGGAGAATTGATTTAAGCTTAATTTTTGCTAAATTATCATTTTTAGTATAACAGATCTAATTATGTTTACATACGTAATCATTGATAGTATTAGTAATTCAATGAGAAATTCTGGACGACCTTGTCTCAAAAAAGAAGAAATAATTTATAAGTAAAACAATTTAAGATATTAACAGAAAACAAACCGAGATATCTCAACCGAGAACAGATCGAGATAGATATCTCAATCGAATTGATTAAGGGAAATCTTTAGTGGGAAATGTAACAATATAAGACGAAGAAAGGGTTGAAAATGGCGACAGTATCAGCGCCAAAATCAATAGGGACGATCTTATTGCCCATTTTACAACCCTCCGACCGGACAAAAACTCCATCATCCTCCTGTTTTCCAACCGTTATTCCGTAGGATCGATCGATACGGAATGATAGAGATTACGATGAAGAATTGAAATTTTTGATTTAGTTAAATTTGATACTGATGAGAAGAGAGAGAGGGTTGAGTTGGTTGCTAATATTTTACTATGATCAAATTCATTTTAGAAGGGAATTGAAATAATAATCACAAATGAGTAAATTGTTTTTTTTTTTAAAGCAAAGCAATATTGAATTATTTTTAATAATTCGATCATCTAATATTTTTCATTGTTTTTTTTACGATAAAGAAAAATTCAAATTTAAAAAATTTTAATAATTATAGCAAAAAATTTTACAAATTCTTTGACATATGGGTTTAAAAAAAATTTGCTATATTTTTTATAACCTGGAATATTTCATTTATTCATCTTAATTTCTTCATTCATATTTATCCAATCAAACCATTTCTTTTCACTGAAATTTTATTGTTGCGAATCATTTTTTTTCATTCAAATCTTTTTAATTTGTTTTTCGAAAATTGACAGTGAGCAAAATAACAGGTGGCAAAGGATAAATAAATAGGTAGTTGAAGTGGAAGGCACAAAGGTTGGAGAGACTTAGAAAGGTCATATTGGTCCTACCATCTCTGCAATTCACTCATTTTTGGTTCACGACTGTTACGCTCACTCTTTTGATTCAGTGAATATTTAAAATTGTTTCAAAGATTTCTCAATCTCAAAGTTTTCATCTTTTTTAAATTTGAATTTTAATAATTTCTATATTACATCATACATGTGGACAGTATAGTTTAACAAAGAAGTTGAAAAGAAGGTGGAAATTTTCTTTTTAATTTTAGGCTAAGTAATTTTTTATTGAATTAATTTGGGGTGATCAGATGATGAGTTGAGTCTAGCAAGGTTATTTTAGGCCTTTTTTTATGAAGCCATCATGCTCCTCATTCCATTGTTATATATCATAGATTGCATATCATGAAATAGAGCAATTACTTCTATTAATTTATTTCATGATATTCAATACAAAAAGTATTGGATTCTTGAAGAACAATCATGCATCATCATTTCTAAGTTTTTGTTTCTGCCTTAAATTTGTGAACTCTAAATTTTCTAATTTTATTAATTTCCTCTTTTCAGGTCAAACGAGATTGCATCTCAATTTTATTAGAATTTGGAATCGACTGGCCAGAACCGTTGAATTGCAGTCGATTTCCGGAAGCACCAAATTTGTGCATGAAACCAACAAACGATCAAAATAGTTATCTGGGACCAGAGTAAGCTCATCATGATTTGGAATATTTCGGTTTTTCCATTTTAACGCTGTTAATATTATTTATTCTAAAATTTCGAATTTATTAGTTATCGTTCATCAGTTGAATCTTATGAATCAACCTTTTTTGATTTTTAATAAACTTTCATGTCTCCTCAAAATTTATATAGATCATAGAGGTCAGCATTAAACTTTTAGACCAGGAATTTCGATATGAATTTTTTTAATGTGGACCAGAAAATAAGGATGAATAAAGTCTTTATTGTTACCATCTTTTCTTATCGTTAACTCAGTGATTTCTAATTTTTAATCTCCTGCCAACTTTATAATTATGCATTCTTCACAGTTCAAGAATTCTCTCTTTTTTTGAAATCGGAAAATTCCAATCAATTCATTTTGAAAAATTTTAAATGTTTATTAATTTATTGTATTTGCTTATATGCCGCATTTGATTGGTTTCGAATAATGTATTTACTTTATCAATCGCTTATCATATCAAATAATGCGCCTTCAAGACGATAATTATTGTGCTAATTTCCAGAAACTTCATAATCGATTGAAGCGCATTTCTAACGCTATTTAAATAAGCTTAGTTATCTACTCCATGTTGAACTATTGACCTGCAAACTTAAATAATTTATATCATTCTTGAATATTTTAATCTGAAACATATTCATATTCATATTGAAAAAAAAGAAGAAATAGCATGAAAAAGTTTTTAATTTGTAGACAATTTGATACAGAACATCGAGACCCAGTGGCAAGTTTGGAAGAACGAATATTTACAAAAACGATGACATCATGTCCACATGATCTGGTTAATCTTGACCCCACTGATCGTCATGGTTTTTGTGTTTTTCAATGTAATCGTGAAGGAATGTTCGATGTTTCCAAGAAGGAATTTGCCCGATTTTGGATGCTTTTATGGGCTTCCATTAATCTTGGTGTTACCGCATTCACTGTTCTTACATTTATTATTGATCGACAGCGTTTCCGTTTTCCTGAGAGGTTAGTTAAATTCTCTTTTCATTATAATACTTTTAAAACGTCAATAGTTTTTTTGTTAGGTGATCACTTTAGTTTGAGATGTTAAATTTTAAGGGAGGAAAAAAATAGAAAATTTTCTACCGTTTGAATAAATGCTTCATGAAGCAAATTTATCCCATAATTTTCTTTTTTTTTTCTCCCCTACCATTACGCACATCAGCTTTGTCAATAAATAACGATTTTGATATTTGAATTTATGTCAGACTAATAACCCCATTGCATGTAAAGCAAAAATTTTATCTTTCAATCACCGCAGCCACGGTAATGTGTTGTATCAGTTTCACCAAATAAATAAAACAAAAAAAAGCACTGTTTTATTTTTTTTATTTAAGTACTCGTATGTAATAAAGAAAGATAAATAATATGCTTGTTATGAGTCATTTATATTAGCTTTACCTTAGGGACCAAGAAAAAAAGGGATTTTTTAAATCGCTTCAAAAACATTAACAATTTCTGTGGGATTTTTTTTTTCTCGTTCTCTCTGTTTATGAGAAAGCATAAGAATGTTATGCATTTTATAAACTTTTTTTTTTCTTTTCTTAATACGAAGGTTTAAAATGTAAAAGTTTTGATTGTTTTTATTGGATTATGAATTATGAGTTCACAGCTTTAATATAATTTTGGAATTAAGAATTTTAAAAATTTGAGCAATGATTTTTTTTGATTTGTGCAGTTAGCATTTTTTTCGAAGAATTCAAGCGTGATTTTTGTTTTAAAATCATAATACTGTGAGAAAAATTTTTAATTTCAATAAGTACCAATTGAATTTGAAAAATATGCAATTTTTATTTGATGAATTTCTGTAAATCAGTTCGTAAATTCTGTTAACATCAGTCATTTTAAAAATAATTTATCTGAATGAGGAAATTTTTAGTATGAGAATTTTGTTCCGCTCTGACTTCATTTAATCGTAAGCTCTGTTCCTGTGTTAAATACTGTACCATTAAGATTTCTTTATCCTTTTCACTTTATATCTTTTCTTTGACATAACACAAATTTCAGGTAAAATTTAGGCCACAAATTTGGGTTCAAAATTTCTTCGCCATATTCCTGTTGCTCTAGAATGGTTGAAGTGCTGGATGAGTTACTTTATAAAGTATGCCTAATAAATGACTATGTCAAAAGGAGTGAACTGAATAGATCGGGTCATGATCAGGTTACGATGGTATAAATTCTCGATGATTTTGTGCTGCAATACAGTTACATTGAAGTGTTTGAAGTGTGTTGCTTTGGTTGGTTGGAGGAGTAGGCGGCAGGAAGAAAGGAATTGCTGAGGTTTGAGGAGTGAAATATGAGCATTACTTTTGAGGTGCCGATCCAATCAAGCATGTATACATACAGACAAAAGCCTTTTAGGCAAAATGACGAATGATAGTTCTAAAGCCTGGAGAAATTATGATTATTGCTATGCATTGCTCTTTCTTTCCAGTGATTTACTACAAATATTCTTCCCCTCTCTCTTCCCCTCTCTCTCTCCCTCTCTCTTCCCCCTCTCTCTCTCCCTTTTTCTCCTACTCTTCTCTTTTCGACAAACCATACCAAAATCGCTATTATTTGCTTTCTTAAATGTTATACGTAGTATGCGCATTATGAACAATCAAAATTGTGCTACTTTTAAATGTAACGAAAGTGTCGCATACTGTCACATCGTTATCAGAGAAGAGATCTGTGCAGTGTATCTTCTCTTCTCTTTTAACTTCATTCAAATTTATCTCTTTCAATGTGAAAAATTAATCTACGGATATCTTGCTATGACCATATTTATTGACGATATGATAATGATTCGCTACGTCCATTTCAAACACAATTTTAAAACAAGTTATCAAGTGAAGGGATGGTAAATTGATGCTACATTATTCTATGGTAATATGTATATTCAATATAAATAATATGACATTATGCAAATCAAACTCAATTTTAATGAATCTATTGAATTGTTAATTGGAGAAATTGTTAAGTTTCATACAAACTTAACAATTTCTACGAAATAACAAGTTTATAATAAATTCAAAACATTTGTTATATTCATTTTTTAAATGAATAATTAATATCGGAATGTTTGAATTTCATTAATTGAGTGTTTCGGTTCTCTTTTTGTTGCATTTTCGAGTGAATATGTTGAATTTCAGATCAATATTTTACCTATCAGCATGTTATATGCTTTTTTCATTGCCTCCGTTAAGTCGAGCGGTTTTTCCATATGAACGGATTGTATGCGATAAACTACCAACCGGACAAACTTTCCTTATTGTTGGAACATTGGATAATACGTCATGTGTTATGTCATTCATACTTACCTATTATTTCTCCGTTGCTAGCAGTCTATGGTGGCTTATGCTTACTTTTACATGGTTAGTATTTTTTCCTCAATATCTCATACATTATTACAGATTGAAGTGTTGTGAAGATAAATAGTGGTATAATAATGCGATTGATATGTAATGACGACATTTCGATTCATTTAGAAAATAAATAAAAATTGAAAGAAATTCAAGAAAAATATTCAAAATTGCTATTAATGAAATAACTAAAAAAATTAATTTTCGTTTCTCTTAACTCCTATTGTTTTATAAAATTACACCGCAAGATAATTAAATTTATGAAATTTTTTAAACAATGTATTTTTGACAATTTTAATTATGACTCTTATTTCTAAATCATTTGTCAATTGAACAATTAGATCACTGGAATAAGAATGTTTAATAAAAAGTGTTGCAAAATTATATCTCAAGGTAATTGAATTTATAAAATTTTCTTAAAGGCTAAAAGTTTTTTTTTTTTTTTAAATTTGAAGCGCATTTTGATTATTCTCTGTCTACATCAGATATAAAAATATTTAGTTAAGCTATAGCTAAGACTGGAATTCAAATTAGAAATCACTCGTTTTCTGTAATAATTGAATCAGCCCAAAATTCAATTGGAATGTATTCCTTTTTCTAGCCTTAGTACCAAGTCCTAAAGCTGTCCATCTCCTTTTAATGAATTTACATAAAAATTTTGCGCTCGAATTCTTTATTTAATCAAGAGAAAGACTAATTCAGAACATCTCATCTGTCCTAAGGGAATAGAATCGAAGAAACTCTATCTAAATTCACATTTGAAATTCCATCTATGTTATCTCATTCGAAACACTTGCTCCACATCTTTCCTTTGTCAGGAAAAGACTTTTTTCGAAATGTTCTACTTATTATTCGTTGGTGCTACAATCTTCCTAAACATGGAATGAAGGATGATAATAGATGGGAATAAATGCAGTGAGGATAATAAAAAAATAAAGATAACGTAGCTTTTATCGGGACAGATTTTATTAATCTTTCTGCAATATTTGCTAAAAATGATAGGAAAATTGTGGGAATTATGGAAAAAATAAACTGCAAAATGTGATTTTTAAAAGTGAAAAAAAAATGTGATTTTTTCTATTGCAGTTCAAAGAATCTAAATCCACAAATTACTTTATGATGCCAAAAGCTGTGAAAAATGATTGGGAATCTTGGCTTATTTGTTAGCTAAAAATCATCAGAGTAGTGCAGTCAAATAAATTGAATGTCTTGTATGATGTAAAAAGTAAATTATCAAAGATGCAAAAGTTAGATGATATCAAATAATCGTCCTTCGGCAGTTACTTGATCCTATTCTTGAACTGATGAACAGAAATATGGGTATGGATACGGACATGTTCAGAAAAAAAT